CTACAATTTAACACAAACTATTCAATAGTACAGCTGATTTGTCCTCTGATTAATATTTAGACCTACAGAGTGTAAAATAATATTATAAATGTGAGTATTTTTAGGTTTCTGTTAGAGGAACCTGACCTGTTGAGAAGATGGTTAGTTAATAGAGACAAGTTTCATCCTACAACCAGAGAACATTTTCTAGCTGTTGACTGGTAAATATAAATGTTATTAGTTTTTATGACAGTAAGAAGAAATATTAAATATACCTTTTTACTAGCTGAAGTCATCATTTGTCAACTAGCTAAAGTCTAAGTTACAGGCTGACTGCAGGTCTATTTTAGATCGTTGTTGCTTGTAAATTATACATTTTTCTGGTATAAATCTGCTGTTTTACATGATTGTTGAATGAAATTAACATAGTTATTAATTTATTGTAAAAACATGACAGATAATCTGTGAAACAGATCCAGTTCAGCTGCTGTTTATCTATTAGTTTCTATGGAGGCTGTGAGCTGTTGCCCTTTTAGGTCTCTGTTTCTGCTCCTCCATGCTGTCACAGATGCTACCAGTATACGGTATGGGCGGGGCTCAGTCTAGTRATCTTTATATTTAAGTCTATGCTCACAACTAGGGTTGCCAACTGTGCTGTATTTTCAGCCAAACTCAAGTGTCCCATAAGAGATGCTCTTTTTCCCGTATTCTGAGCGCAGCCTGCAATCAGAGTTACGTTATTTCCTGGTTAAACAAAGGTCAATAAATGAAACCTGTCAATCCGTTCATCATTAGCTTTAAACTGCATAACTCAAGGATMGTGTCTTTATTATTATATTGTTCTGCTCCCCCCAACCTCACAAGTCAGTAAGTCATAAAATGAGACATGATGCAGTCATTTTGAAAAACATATGTTTTTGTTTTAGTACATACTGAAAATGCCTGGATCAGATTTGGAAAAAAAAATTAATAAATTAAATCAGATTTGTCCTGTTCAGACTGTCAGGAAATAATAATATGATATCATATTTTCTATTAGAAATTATTATTATAAATCTAAAAGCTGCCACAAATATATGATCAAACTATTAATTGGTACATTTGACCTAACACCTGAAAACATGGATGACATAAGAAATATGAAACATAAAATTCAAAAAATATATACATTTAATGTTTATGTAGATTTAGTACAGTCCTGATCTACATTTTTTTCTTCTAGAACAGTTATTTTCTGAAGAGGTGCATGCTTAAAAATGTTTGATAATCACAGCATTATGTTTTTTATTCTTCTGTTTATTGAGACCATCAGCAGCAGAAAAGTTGTAAAGAAAGAAAAAAAACTTAAATGTGTTTTTTTAAATCATTTTTAGTCCATCATATTACATGGAAATAACAAAAACAAGATTAAATGGTGTTACGGTGGATCCACCTTAAATGTTGGGGAAAAAAGTAATACTGTGTGGTGATGTCGTAATTGACAAATTACGTCATTAAGCCCCGGCCCCGGCAGGACTGTCCCGTATTTTGGAGGGGCTGAGTTGACAACCCTACTCACAACGGACTGATCAGATACATCAAATACTGCTCAAGACCAAACTCATRGATTTGTAGCTGAAACACTAGTTATAAATAGACATGAGCACTATTTATTTATATCTGCTGTTGTAGATTGAAGTACTTTTCATTTGGACAATTTAATAGTCCTTAATCCTGTCACCAGGTCTACATGACAAATCTCTTCCAGGTGAGTGATTTGGTGTTTAACAGAGTCTCAGTGGTGGGATAAAACACGAGGAGGAGATTATTATGTCTGTGCTGAAGAGGAAACCGCTCTGAAGTAAAGAGATCCAGCTGCGGAGCCAGAAGTCACTCTTCTATTATATTTATTTTATTTTTTTCACATAAAACTACTCAGTTTTTTAAGAGCTATTGCCATCTGAAATAAATATATTGAATTTAAATAACTTGTAACATTTTAGGGCCTTCAGTTTTACAGAACTCCACAATTCAGTTTGTTTYTTCTTTGATACCAGCTGCTTTCCAACGAGCCTTTCAGCTCATCAGTCCTGTTTATTCAAAATGAGGTTGYTCAAAGAGCTAATCCTAACCTACAAGCAGGAATTATGAACTTCAAATATTTCCATGAAACCCCAATTCAAAATAGTCCTTCAAAGCCTGAGCACCTTAATGCTTTGAATTCTGGTCTGTTTTGTTTGGAGCTGGTAAAATGAGCAAAATGTGGGCAGGGAGGCTGAATCCTTACCAGACATGCTCTTCACTGAACACTGGCTGTTCTTCCTCTTCCTCTTCGGGGCATCAGGCCACCTGTGAGGAGACAAAGAACAACATGATGAAAGCCGCAAAATATCTCAACTGTGACCTCGCAGGTTCCACTGAGAGGAAAAAAGTTGGAGCCACACACAAATGAAGTTTAAGCCAAACTGTGTTTTTTAAAATGAGTACTAGAACAAACATATTTTGGATCACTGTATATAACCTTTTGAAAACTATGATGTTACAGTTCCACCTGCAGCCTAACCTACGACCCTAAATGACAGATGTAACAACACTAATGACAGATCACATGCTTTGTGTTTTAAACGTTACTTTAACTACAGCAAAGCCTTCATTTACTGGATCAATCTAATGAATAAACAATAACAGCCTTAAACAGAGCAGAGCCTAACTACATGTTTTAGCACCAAAAAGGGATTTTTAAACATTTTTCACCAACAAAAATAATTTAAAAAAAGTTAGTGTCTCAAGTTTACATTTGAAAAGGGAAATTGGAAAAAGTTTTAAAGGACCAACACTTGTGTATAAGGACTTTGAYATGATTAGAACACTGCAAGGAAACCTGTCCCTCCATCTGCCCCTCGCTGGAATCTGGGTCTGAAAAACGTCCTCATGTCCACAGATTTGGACTAACCCRTCTTCTTCTAGTTTAATGTGACAGAAAGTATAAGTCTTCAGCTCTTGTAGTGTTTACAGTTCATATCTTACATGTGAGGCCTGTTCTGCTCCTTCTTTCCTGTTTTGATTGTATGATAATGGCAGAGCTACAGCACCACACACAGGCCTGGTGCGATTACTACAGCGTCTACTACACATTAGGGCTGCCACGATTAGTCGATGACTAATCGATTATTAAAATAATCGATGACTAATTTAATAATCGATTAATCGTTTTCTTTTTTGTTTTGTTTTGTTCTTTACTTTGTTTTTCTCTCCAAACTGCTTTGACACCTTCCACTGCCACATCTGCCTTTCTGTCCTTGACACACATGTGGTAACTGGGGTAGGCCGTGGGCGTCACTAGACATTATACAGACAGGGTCTGGTATCATGGCTACTCGGCAACGGAGCTCAAAAGTGTGGGATCATTTGAAGAAAATGAAAGAGAAACCTGTGCAACATCTGCAGAGCAGAACTTGTCTTCCACTGCAAATATTTTTAGTTAGCATATAGCTAAAATCTAACCATGGTTATATAATAGAAGCTGCAGTCTGGCACGATAAGCTGTATGTTTTATATTCAGTTAACGTATGATCTGATTAGTCGACTAATCGAAAAATAATCGGTGATTAATCGATTATAAAAATAATCGTTTGTGGCAGCCCTACTRCACATCTAGAAACAATTTCATGTTTCTGACAGTTTTTCTGTGTGGACAAGGACTTATAAATACATTTCCCACCCAGCTTTTGATTCTTAGTATAACACGTGACAATAAAACATAAAAGTACTCAAACATTGTTACATTTTGGGCTTTCAGTAGGYTTATCCTAGGATTTCTCAGAACTCAGTAAATCATATCAATGGGCAAACATGTATGGATGCACAAGCAGATTTTCCAGGATTAAGATAATTCCTTCACTAATCTCTGCACTGCTTCCTGTGTCTTTCTATGATTTTCTGYATTTACTCTTTCCTCACACTAACACTGACTGCCCTGTTCACCTGTGTGTTTGCTCTGTTTATTGTTTYTTCTAGTTCAAATCTTTGTGCCTGACTCATTTTGCCTGTACAGTATCTRTGTTGTTTCTGTTCTCTCTTCCCATCTTCCACCAGCTCTCTCCTTTCCTCTCCTCTCATTTGTTGTAAAATTTATCTCCCTGTTCCAACCAAAACTGAAAAAGTCTGGGTCTCTGCTCCTCTTTATGATRACGTGAAGTCAGTCAATGATGCTGCTTTGGTTTCTAATCAGCCTGAGCTGAATTATTAAAACAAAAAGCAGGGGAAAAAAAATCAATGAAATTCTTAAATATGTGCACAACAAGGTGGAATGAATCTAAACGGTACTGACTGCGATCGGCACGTAAAGTGTTCTCGAGACAGTGCTTCTGTACCCACAGTGATGTGGTTGTCAGTGAATGAGAATGAAGCCAGACTTGTTTTTGACCACTAGAGGGCACAGTGACGCAAACAGTTTTCACATCCTCCCATTCATGCACCAAWTATCTTTACCCACTTCTCTTTTCAGGGTCAGGGAGCAGGTGCCYAACTCCAGGAGTCCCTACGAGAGGTAGGGGGACAAGAGCACAGGTCTACAGCCCGTCATAGGGACACATAGAGACAAGACAAAAATCATTGACACCCACACTTACTGGCAACAAAGAGTTACCAAATAACCTAACATGCATGTTTATGGTCTGTGGGGGGAAACAGGAGTATCAAGAGATAACCCATGCAGAGGGAGAATATGTGAACAGAAAGACCCCGGGTCTGGGGGTGGGGGTGGGGG